CTTATTATTGATGCATTACTGGTTGAATCAACCATCATTCCAGTTGTTTCTATTTCTATTATATTTTTAAATATAAAGTTTTTATAATATCAACTTCTAACGTGTGGATTGTTAGGCTACCATATAGTGTGTGGTGCATACTTGTGTTTGTGTTTCTTCCCCGTTACCAACACTGTTTTCTTAATGATTGATTCGAAGATGTGTATGCATTGTGGTCTAATTTTGAATCATTCTGGTGTTGCTAAAGCAGGTATAACACATGCTCCTAAAGTGTTCTCCAACGATAATGGTGGTCTTTGTAGTGGTTGTAGTTATACTATTGGTTGCCTAGCATCTTTTGAACATTCTTTTTGCACGCAAGGAATATCCTGTGTCATGAACTCTGTCTTACCAAGGTGGGAACAAAAACTTCCTATTTTTTCTTGCAAGAATGGAGTATCTGCCCAAGGTTCTGGCACTCAGATGCACCTTCTCCCTGATCTGATTTAGCAATGAGAGGTGCAAGAAGGAAGACTGGAAACATACGCATACGCTCCCCTGCCTTGGCAGCAGAAGGTCCTACAGATTCCTAGTGTGCAGCAGTAGCAGCAAGGTAGCATATTCTAGAGGACAGCAGAGCTAACTGAAGCATCAGGTGTTTCCTAGCAACATCAGGTTGGCATCTAATAAATTTGTCAATGTGGCTTATTGGGTGTTCTTAGAAACTTATTCTTAAAAATGTTTATTAGTCTTTGAATAAAACACATTTTCTGCCTAATCATCCAGTTTCTGTTGCTTGCAGCTAAGAACTTAGTCTAATAGATGCTATGAGGAAATTTGTGCTGTTTTAAAAAACTTGATCAAAACCCTGTGTAGCATAATTGGTTATTTTTTGCTTCCAGGGGCCTTTGTCAACCTTCACAATTCTACCTCTCAGAAATCACTGATTCAAAACGTCCCATTCTTTAATTTTAAGCTGTACCCTTCTGATTGCTTGCTAGAGAATCACTTTAGCATAATAATTTAGGACCGTAGGCTTAGAGCCCCACTGCCAGGACTGAGACTTCCCTGCCATTGGTTAGCTGTTGTTCCTTCCCCCTTTTATTTATTAGTATATGTTTGCACTACACAATTAATTCTGTGCATCCATTGTGGGGAATAAGCAGATATCCATAGCACACTTTGATGCTGTTTACTTCCTCTTCCCCTCCCATCCTTCCCATCTTCCCAGAGTGTCGGCGGTGCAGATATTGCTAATGTGTGTTCTGTAAGGATGTATGTTTCCAGTATTAGATTACACTCACGAGTGCCTTTCCATTACCCTTTAGCAAATTGTAGAAATTGCCTGCTTAGATTTCCTTTGTGGTTGTCTTTTGTATAGAAACATGATGACAAGTAGGAAAAAAATTTCCTTTATCATTTTTTAACATAAGCAAAGGTTATTCCTTGTGCAGACATAATTACCATTTGGGGACTAGTAAAGTACCAAAAGAGGGAAACATTTAAAGCCATTGCTATTAAATCCATATCAAGATACTCATCCTCAGTAAACTTTTTAAAGACTAAACATTAATTTTTTTTGTTTATTGACTTTTGGATTTTGCATTTTAAAAAATTGGGCTTAAGTTGAGCATGGTGGTGCATGCCTATAATCCTGGCACTAGGGAGGCTGAGGCAGGAGGATTGCTATAAGTTTGAGGCCAGCCTGGGCTACATAATAAGTTCAAGGCCAGCCTGAATTACATAGCGAAACCGTGTCTCAAAAAACCTTTATGTAATAGAATTCAGCATTGTATGCAGTCATGAAACCATGACCCACACTAAAGACATAGAACATTTGGTTTACCCCCAAAACTCTCCCTGTCTTTGCAGTAATCTCTCTGTAGCCCCTGGCAGCCAGTGATCTGTTTTTGTTCCTACAGTGTTGCCTTTTTTAGAATGCCATGTAGAACAGAATTATACATTCATGTAGTCTTTCTCCCAGCATAAAGATTTTGAGATTGTTTTATGTGGTTAATATAAAATGATCAAAGATGGGGTTTCTTGTCACATACAAAAAGAACCCTCCCCACTCTGTTTACTGTGTTTAGAGGAGAGAGCTCAGGAGAACACACTCAACAGAAGAGCATTGACCACATAGTGACTGTCCTGATCGGCTTAGGGTCCAGTTGCTCTGTTAAGAATGAAGCGGGACTCATGAAAGGTGCCATTGAAGCTTGAGGTGTACTTTTTTACTTTTCAATTTTTCTTTTGATGCTAAGGATCAAATCCAGGGCATGGGATGTGCTGGCCAAGTTCTCTCACACTGAGTGACATCCCTAGCCGTGCGGTGTGCCTTTCTTGGAGTTCTTGGCAGGGACAGTATGGTCAACACTGTGCAGATCGAGGAAGGCCCGCAGCAGTGCCAGTGTTGGCTGGAGAGAATTCAGAGACAGCTCAAAGACTGGCGGAGTAGCCCTGCTCTGCCTACTGCCTAAGCTCCCAGTTGTTAGAAATTTCAGGTTTCTTAATGTTTTGGTCACATAAACTCTATTACAAAGCACTGTGTTCGTCAAACTGTTCAAATGGAACTGTATAATAAATAGACTTAAGGTCTGGCTTTCACTCAGTGTAATGATTTTGAGGTTGCTTTACATGGCTACAATAACGAGTTGTTCAAAGTACTATATGGTTTCATGAGTGACCAACTCAGAACTTGCTCTCTAGATAAAATGATCAGCATGCCTTCTCTGTTGATGTGTTCTGTGTGAGAGTTGTTGTAGTTATTCACCTCTTTAAATATGGTAAACAAGGTATAAAAATATCTTTGTGTGAGACATAGTGGCCCATGGCTACAATTCCAACACTCTAAGAGTCTGAGGCAGCAAAATCAGGAGTTAGAGCCCAGCCTGGGCAAGTTAGTAACTTAGTGAGGCCTTGTCTTGAAATAAAATGTTCTGGGAGTGGAGCTCAGTGGGGCAGCCCAGGGTGCAGTCCCCAGTACCACCAAAAACTGCCAGTCTTTTTGTGTGGCAATGAACTGTGTAATTCATGAAAGCATAAAGTGATTTTTGATAATCTTATTTTAACCACATAAGTCACATTAAATCTCACCTCTGATTGGGAGGGGGCAGCACTACATGTTTGCATCACAGCAGAACATATGGTGGCACTCAGGAGGTTGAGGCAGGAGGATCATCATGACTTCAAGGCCAGTCTGTATTCTATAGACAAGGCAAGACCTTGACTCAAAAAATGTATTTCACTCACATAGCAAATTGAATGTGTTTGAAATCATTGCAGAGCTGCCTCACAGCCTATCCATGTTGTTGGGTGAGTCAGTAATTGGCTGTCTTTTTATTGCTTTTTACTTAGTAGTGGTTCAAACTGCATAGATTTATGTATTCATTCACTGGGTAATGAACTTGATGTTTCCAGCTTGGACTGTTTGTGAGCATTTGCATACAGATCTTTGTGTGGACAGTTTCATGTGTGTTTACCTTCATTAAGAAAGAGCCGGAGTATTTCAAAATAACTATGTAGTTTTACATGTTTACTTGAAATGTTTGAAAGTTATGTTTGCTCCATATCCTCATTAGCTCTGGTATTGTCAGTCTTTTTTTTTAAATTTTAATTTTTTTTGCCATTTTATAAAGTGTGTATTGGTGTCCTATTACAATCTAAACTTTTCATTTCCTGAGGTCTAACAAAGCATCTGTCTATGGGTTTATATTTGCTATCCACATTCCCTCCTTTCAGATAATGCACATTAAAAATGAGTTGTCTAATTATTGAATTATAACAAATATAGATGAAGTACTTTATCAGATAACATGGATCTTATGTTTATTTTGCTTGTTTTTGATATAGTGTGAGATTTAACCCAGGCCCATCACACCTAGTGTGAGCTAGCTACCACCCTAGTCCTTTTTTGAGCTGTTTTTATTTTGAGACAGAATGTCACTGAGTTGCTAAGTTTTCCAGGTTGGGCTCAAACTTGGGATCCTCCTGCCTCAGCCTCCCAGTTGTATAAATGTTTTCTTCCAGTGCATGGCTTGCCTTTTCATTTTGTTAATATTATCTTTTGTAGAGTAAAAGTTTGCTTTGTTCTGTGTTTTTGCTGTGTTCCCAGTTTAAGGCTGGCCTTAAACTTCTGAACTCAGTGCCCGCCTCCTTCAGCCTCCCATGTGCTGCTGGGCTTATGGGGATACAGCCAGACCTAGCTCGAGCTTTAATTTTAGTGGAGACCAACTTTTTACTTTTTAGTGTTTTTGTCTTTCGTGTTCTAAGAATTTTTTGCCTAACTCAAGGTTAGAATGGTTTCCCATGTGTTTTCTTCTGCACAGTTATAATTTTAACCCTGAAATTTAGGTGTTACATTTCAGGCTCATTTTAATTTTTGTATATGGAGCAAGTTAAGAGTTGAGGCTCAGGGTTTGTTTGTTTGTTTTGTTTTGTTTTGTTTTTTCCAGATTCACAAGCTTTAAGAAAATAATACTTTCTAAATTGAATGATGTTGGGTGGCACCTTTGTTAGAGCACTGGCTCTATTCTGTTCTTTCCTGATATGATTATGTGCTGTGGTGAATGTTCCTTGAAGCACTACTTTAGTTTGATCCTACAAACTGACTTTTCATTTTCAATCAGTTTAAAATGCTCTTCTAGTTTTCCTCATGAAATGCATGCTTAATTACCAAATACTTAGGAAGTTTCTAAATATTTTTGTCTTTATTGATTTCTAATTCCATTATGTTCAGAGAACATAAATTATATAATAGTAAGCCTTTAAATTCATTGACATTTATTTCATGTCTTTGAATGTTCTTAATTAACTTTTAATCTTAAAAAATCCTTTTTATTGTGCATCTGAGTGTTTACCAGATTGCTAGTTTACATACCATTTTTATTTTTTAATGAGAATGTAATATAGTTGTACTTTCCCTAGTTGTTAAGAACGATTGCTGTCCTGTCATATCAGTTGGTGCTTGCAGTTTTTGCCTTGCAGCCGCAGATTTTTAAATTTTCTTCTCTCCCATTTGACAGGTCTGAGATCTGGCAAGCTCGGAGAACAGTGTGAAGCAGTAGTTCGCTTTCCTAGGCTTTTCCAGAAGTATCCATTTCCCATTCTGATCAATTCTGCATTCCTAAAGTTAGCTGATGTTTTCAGAGTTGGGTAAGTCTTTTTCAAGCTCAGTTTCCCAACATACACGGTGTTTTTTTGCAGTAGTGGGATCAAACTCAGGATCTTGCCCTTGCCAGGCAGGGGCTTATACTGCTGAGCTTTCGCCCCAGTCATTTGTATACACTGTTCTTGTTTCTGTTTTGTATATGGTCTTTCTCCTTTCCCCACTAGGATGGCCAGGTGGTTTGTGACCCTTCTAATAGATGCATATAGCAGTGTGCCATGTCGTGGTGTGACATTAATGACATCTTCAGCAAAAATGAAATGCATAATTCAAAGTACTTGTTTCTTTGGGGAACAGACAGAATCACATTGGGACCTTAATGTATTATTTTTTTTTCTTAATGGATTATTGCATGTATAAATTTGATAAAGTTGATGGCTTTGTACAGATTGTTATAGCATGAGCTACATGTCTATGGAGTCTCTGAAATATGTAAACCCTTCATAAACACCCACTTCCTTGTTTTCTCTCCCCACCATTTCCTGCCCTGCTCCCTGCTGCTCCTGAGTGCCTGCTCCGGGCTGAAAGGGGAAGGGAATTAGATGATGGACTTAGCCAGAAAGGAGGGCCCTCAGCCCAGGCTGGGCTTGGAGGTGGAGTCCAGCTCCAGGGCTGATGCGGCATCAAGGCTCTATGCTGGCACAGCCAACTGCCCATGCTTGCAGCATCCCTAAGTAGGCACTGCTACTCTTAGTGGTGGACAGGTAATAGAGTGGAGAAGCACCTGCCTGATAAAACTCAGTAGCTCTAGTGTTGCCTTAATCCCAGACTGTTATTTTCCAAAAGTGACCTAATGCATCTCATCTCTTGATTTTCCTAGAAACAATTTCCTCAGACTGTGTGTACTTAAAGTTACCCAACAAAGTGAGAAGCATTTGGAGAAGATTCTGAATGTGGATGAGTTTGTGAAAAGAATTTTTTCAGTGATTCATAGTAATGATCCTGTGGCCAGAGCCATCACACTCCGGTATGTTGTCACTGTGACCAGTTTCCACCAGCTGGGTTAAGGCGGGGGCTGTGGGCCCCAGCGGCAGTGTACTTACCATGTTCATTTTATGGATTATGCATTTGTTTTACTTTTGCTTTCAACTAAGACTCAGACAGACAATTGAGACCTGGCAAACTGTACATTCTTTCCAGTAGCTTCTGAGAGAGGATGTATGTTAAGAGATTGCTAAACTGTGTTTGAAACATCTCTCTGTTCTTTTTTTTTTGGGGGGGGGGCGGAACTGGGGATGAACTCAGGCCCTTGCGCTTGCCAGGGAAGCACTTATTCCACTGAGCCATCTCCCTGGCCCCCATCCCTCTGTTCTGACGGAATAACTTGATGGGTTTCAGGACAGCTTAGCCTCAGCTCCTTTTGAATTTCAGCCTTTTCTGTTTGCTGTCAGTTTCCTATAGCCATTCCAGGTCATGTGCTTGTTTTTGTATGTGATCGTTTCTTCTTGAACTTCATAGAGAACACCAAATACAGCCTCCATATTTTTTTCTTTTTTCATTTTTGGCACCTAAAAATTTACTTTGTTCAAATTTCTTTTTCTGAGCCTTATATGTACTTGAACTATATACTATTTGTAAGTCTGCTGCTTATGAAATCATGTGTATAACTTGGGGGCAAGCTTTGAAACTATTCTGAGTCACAGATCTCATTTCTTACTCTCTTGGCCGGACAGGCCTCTTACCCAGGGGGCCCGGGTGTCATTTTCCCATCAGTTCTTCCTTTTGTTCAGAATTCATTACCTTGTCATTCCCCTGCCTTTTGCTTCATTTTGTCAGTTAATGTATCTGTTTCTAAGGTTCAGGAAAAAAAATCTGGAGAAACATTCTATAAACTGTTTTTGGCGGGTCATGAGTTATGAAAGAGATTTCCTTGTTTTGTTGGAATAGAATTGAACCCAAGGCCTCACCTCACACATGCTAGGCAGGTGGTTATCTACCACTTTTTAAATTTTATTTTGAGACAGTCAAAAGTGGTCCACACAGGCCTTGAACTTATGATGCTCCTGCCTCAGCCTCCTGAGTATCTGGGAATATAAGGTGTGTACCACCACACCAAGCTTCATGGGACTTTATAATGTTTGAATTGCTTTCTACAGGCATAGGTTATTTTATTTGTCAGAAGAAGAATAATAGAATTTGATGAATAAATGAATTTTATAAGTAATTAGACTAGTCTAAACATTTTAAAACCTTGGTTTAGGTAATCCAGTTTTGATTAGTCTTTGTGTTTTTGACATAGGATTTTACTAGTTCTGTCTGGCTGGCCTTGGACTCACTATGTAGCATAAGCTAACTTCAAATTTGAGGCAGTCGTGCCTCAGCCTCCCAAGTGCTGGGATTATAGGCATATAACACATTGCCCAGTGAAAATTTTTTACATAGTCCGAAATTGAAAGAGTTTTATGGCCACTAAATACCTACCACCCAGGTTCTTGTCATTGTTCTTTTACTAAACTTGCTTTATTGCATTATCTACCCATCCTTCTATTAATGTCATTTGCATAGCACACTTCGTAGTAAATTGCGGTCAGTATACTTGCCCTTAATTCATCAGAGTATATAATTGGAGTTTTTTGTTTACAAAGTTGTCTAGTTCTTTAATGTAGAATTTACCTAGGATGAAATGCACAGACCTTATGTGTAACTGCACTGAGTGTTGGCAGATGCCTCATGAAACCCCAGCAGTTTTGAAGATACTGAATTCACCTTCACTCCAGAAAGTGCCAGTGTACTTGTGCTGAGGTCCTTCTCACGTCTGCTTTCCATGGGGGATCTCTGTTACGTTGTTTTCCTACCATCATCAATAAGTTGTTGACTGTCTTTAAACTTAATATAAATGGACTCATACAATAGCTGTCATTTTTTTTTTTTTTTTTTTTTTTTTTTTTTGAACCGGGGATTGAACTCAGGCACTTGTGCTTGCCAGGGAAGTGCTTATTCTACTAAGCCATCTCCCTGCCCAATAGCTGTCATTTTGCAAGACATTTTATTCAACATGTTTTTGAGGTTAATATATCAATAATCATTCCTGTTAAATGCTAAGTGGTTCTTATTGTCTGAATATGACATTAATCATCAATTCTCTTACTGATGAGCACTGTATTGTTTCTAGCATGGGTCTTAAAGCAGCTCTGAACATTCTGGCTTTTTTGTGAAGTGATTCCAATGAATCTTTTAAGCAAAAGCCCTGTATGATAGGTAATGTCTACTTAGCTTTTAAAAGATTCTAGACCTTTTTCTAATGTTTTTGCTATTTTACATGTCCACTACAATGTATGAGAGTTCTGCATATTGTACACTTTTGCTGATTTTTGGTGTTGTAGCCCTTTTTTTTTGAGACCGGGCCTCACTCTGTATTCTAGGCTGGCCTTGAACTCGCTGTGTAGCCCAGGCTGGCCTTGTCTTGTTTCAGCTTCCAGAGTACTGGGATTAGAGGCATGGTGTGCCACCATGCCCAGCCAGTATTATAGCTTTTTAGGTTTTAGCCTTTCTGATGGCTATTAGTGGTTTTGATTTGGATTTCTAATGGTACTGATTCAAGTACGTTTTCTTGTGGCCTTTTGGCCAATTATAGTACCTTCTTTTGCAAAGTATTCGTATCTATTGCCCATTTTCTTAGACTATTTAGATTTTAATGTTATCTATTGTAGTGTTGTGTTTTTGAACTAGGCCCTTGTGCTTGTCAAGGAAGCGCTTATTCCACTGAGCCATCTCCTCAGCCCATAAGTGTTTTTGATATATCCTAGGTTATATGTCCTTTCTCAGATACATGTTTTCTATATCACATGTGAAATCGGATAAAAATTTTTTCTGACACAGCAAGCCAGGGACAGAATTACTCATGCTCTTTATTAAGTCATATCTCAACACTGCTGCCCCTTATCCTTCTTGTCCCTGCCCGTAAATCATGGAGTAATATGTACATCAGAGTAAAAGTTTCAAAGTATGTAACTGTAAGAGCCACCCCAAGTGTTCACAGTAGGCACCAGAGGATCAGAGCCAGGAGTAACTAGCTGTCATACTACAAAGCTCTAGAATACTCTGCTTCTAAATATGGACAGATACTTAGCTGTGGTGGTGCACGCCTGTAATTCTGCACAGAGGGGCCTGAGACAGGAGGATTGGTGTGAGTTCATTGCCAGCCTGGGCTACACAGTGAATTCAAACCCATTGAGTCCCTGTTTCCAAAAACAAAACAAACAAAAGGCAAATAATTTAAATAGCTACTTTTATAATTTTAAAATATTGTGTTCATTTCTTTTAACGTCTGTTTAGGAACCAGTGGTCCAAATGAAAATGTTTGATTAGAGTGTGTACAAAAGTCTGTTCCAGTCCCAACTCTCATTCAAATGAACTGATGTCTCAAAACTCATTTTCTTTGATGTAAAATGAGAAAATAACACCTCCTTCACAGATCTTTATGTGACAAGATGCAGAAATACTGCCCAAAACATTTTTTTCCTAAAACATTTTTAAGTAGGAAAATTTATTGTAGCAAAGGAATGAAGAATAGGAGTAGCTCCTGAGAGACAGGAGGGGTTGGTTGGCTCACCCACCCCAAACATTTAAGATCACTGTAGCTGTTAACTTAGGAAGGGGTTTGAGGATGTAATTGGTATTTTCAGTTTCACTGTGGTTTAGAGTGTAGTGCTATTTTTATAGAGAAGGCCAGGTGAGAGTGGATCTTAGTGTTATAGAGAAGATGACTTTCTCACTGAGGAGTACTACAGTCATGCAAAGAAGGGAGATTGTGTTAAAGAAAACAGACTGCATGGGATGGTCACTGAGAGTGACAAATAAATTGTTGTGTGTTCTGAATGCCCATTGTATAGAAAGTTCAATGCAGTTTGTTTGTTAAAAAGTTTACAGCCTCCGAAGAGCTGGGATTACAGGCATGCACCAGTCTCAATCTCCATCTCAGCCGGCGAGATAGCTCAGTGGACTAAAGTACCTACTTAGGCAAGTTTAGGCAAGTGCAAGGACTGAGGTTCAATCCCCAGCACCACATGCCGCCGGCCACCAAGTCCAGGCCTAGTGATGCATGCCCGTAATCCCAGCGCTGGGGAGGCCAAGAACAATAGGATCACTATGAGTCCAAGCTGCATAGTGAAACCCTGTAACAACCAAATACATGTTAAAAAAAAAAAAAGTAGAAACTCAAAAGCGCAAGTGATACCTTTCAAACACTAAGCACTTTTAATGTTATTTATTCATTGTGGTGCTGGGGTCAAACCTAGGGCCTGTACCTCTGTAGCAAGTAACTTTGTGTTGAATCTTTTTTTTGTATTTATTTATTGTATTTTAAGGAAGGGTCTACAGGGTGTTTAGGGTTTCGCTACTAGATTGGACTTGTGATTCTCCTGTTTACAGCCTCCGAAGAGTTGGGATTACAGGTGTTTGCCATCTCAGTGTGCCCTGGGGGCAGGACTGGCAAAGCAGGCCTGGGGATCGAACCCCCAGCCCTTGCACCTGCTTGCAGACACCTTAATCCGCTGAGCTATTTGACCAGCCTTTGTGTTGAATGTTTAGCCATATCAAATTGATTTAGAAAGAAGAGAGGTATGCACTGTGGCCCATGCCTATAATCCCAGCTACTCAAGAAGCTGAGGCAAAAGGATCGCAAATTCAGGGCCAGCCTGGGCACTTTAGCAAGACCCTGCTTCAATATAAAATAGAAAATGCTGGGGATGTAGTTCATTGGTGAAGTACTTGCTCAGCAAAGGCATGAGGCTCTGGGTTTCATCCCAGTACCACAAAAATAAATAATTTTTAAAGTTTTTGAAAGGGGTAGTAGGGAAGAGACATTTTAAACATGTTCTTTTGCCTATTACTGTAAACTTATAAATTAAAACAAATGGAAAAACAAGCAAGAAGACATCTATAGTATTTGAGATGTGGTACTATGAGCTGTTTGTAAAATACAGAGAAATACTTTCAGCAACGGACCAGTGGGTGTGCCCTATTGTGTTACATTGTAGCAGACTGTTAGGATGCATCAGTGTTATTCCGCTTTAATCTTTTTCTGGAAAAAACATTTTGTTGGCAAACACAGGGTCCTGAGTTCAATTCCCAGTACCAGAGTGCCTCCCCCACCCTGCCCGGAGAGCCTCCCCCACCCCGCCCGCCGAGTAGGATTTTCTGCCGAGTTCCAGGAGCCCCCAGACCCAGTCCTAGCCCAGGTCCGGTGAGTGTGCGGAGAGCTTCCTGCTACCCTGCACCGGCGGGACCAGTCCCAGCCCAGGCACAGAGTGGGCCAGACCCTCTCCCAGCCCCTTGGGCCGCCCCCAGTACCAAAAAAAAGCCATTTGTTATTTCTTTCAATAACAGAAAAAAATGACTGCCTGTATTTTCTAAGAAAGTTCACAGCATGTTGAGGAAATGAAGCTGAAATACATGAAATAGAAACCTTAAGGATAATTGGAAATTTCTCTTTTGAAACTGATCCTCCTACTTATATCTAATTGATTTACTCTTCATAAAATAAGTGAGGACTTGTCAAACTGGAAGTTGTGGTAACTTTGAAGAGATTGTTATTATAAAAACACTGAAGGTTTTGTTTGCAACTTTGGAAAATCCAAGCCTTTCTGCTGAAAGGACTTTTCCATCTTTCCTTTCTGTAGTTTATGTTACGAAGTCTAGATTTTTCTTTTCCAAATTTGTAATTTATTATAAAGTGGACTTTTCCCAGATGTCTTTCCTTGCTGTTGCAGATACTGGTATGAGCCCCAGGGGGCGCCATCTACCTCCCTTACCCTGCTATTGAGGACAGATTAGCAAAGCATCCACTAGTATTGATGTGGGGATACAGACTGGAAAAGTCTTGCTGTTTTACTTTGTGAATCTGCTTAATAGCAAAACCGTTATATTCTTAATGCTTCGCTAAAATGGACTTCTTCATGCAACATCGGAAAATTGATGTTTTGGTGGTTTAATAATTCAAGTCTCTCTCCTGGGCCTTGTTTGGTACTTGGGATGCACTTCAAGATAATTTTTAGCAATTTTGCTTGTGTCAGAGCAGACATTTTAGTATATCTGATACACTGACGTGTATAGATGTTAGAATTTGAGTCGCTGCTTAATTCCTAAAGTTAGACTTCATTAGCCTGAGATTTATGGAATGACCTTCAAACTTCAATTTTTTTTTAATGTATCAGTTATTTAATTAGGTTCTTAGTAAGAACTTTAGAACACTAATTTATGCAGATGAATTCCGTTTGTCAGAGCAAAAATGGACCACAGGTAGGCCCAGAGCTGAGGAACAGTTTTGATTATTGGTAAAATTTAGGAGTCCACCACCTTGTGATCCACCTTGCCCTGCTCTGAGATCTACTATCTCTTTCTCAGTGTTGAAGATCTCACCCTCTGGGCTTCTGCAGCTTCTTGAAGTAAGCATCAATGAGGAGTTTGGGGGTTTTCACTTTGCTGATACCAATGTTTGTGGAGATGGCAATGACAAATTTCTGGTGTGTTCTTCACAGGAGAATACTATTAAGGCTAAGAGGGCCTGTCACAAGTAGCAAGCTACTGGCCAGCTGCTTCAAGAAAGCCACTCTCTTGCCTCTGTGATACCTGCTGAGGATGATCAAGATGGTGCCAGGAGTGATGCTAGCTCAAAGTTTCCTCACACTCTGACTGAAGGGTTTCTTGCCTCGCTCAACAGCTTTCGGGACACATCTTCAGTAGGGTAGCATCTAGGCATTTTTCGAAGCCTGACCATCCGGGTACCACCATTTTCAGCACTGATTGGTTTTGTGATAGTAGCAAGAACATTCTCCTTTTTCTTCTCACCTTCAATTTAGCATCTTTGTATTTTCTGTTGTATAGAGCCTTTATGGACTACATAGCAGATTGGGAGTATCTACCAGTTCCTCTAATCAGAACAGGATTTCGGCTGCCGTGGGGCTGCCCCTTCTTAGAGTTTTTTTGCCTTCACTTTTTTACCAGTGCCACTGTCATTAGCCTTCTTGGCTTTGGGATTTTCTCTTTATTGTCTGGCTTCTCAGTTTTTTTGCCCATCATCTTGCAAGATAGGAATAGAGTGAGACTTCAATTTCGATAATATAGCCTACCGCTGTCTTCTTTCCTGACCCTCAGATTATTGTATTTATGTTCTCTCTGGGTTTCTCTGTTTTGGTAGGATGTTGGGGAGTCTGGCGTCAATAATCCCTGAGAGGAAGAACGCTCACCACAGCATTCGGCAGAGCCTGGACTCACGCGATAACGTGGAGGTGGAAGCTGCCGTCTTTGCGGCTGCAAACTTCTCTGCACAGTCCAAGTGAGTGCGGGCCTCCCCCAGAGCCCTGAAGGAAGCCCTGACCAGTCTATAAATACTGAAGGTCTAGCAAAGAAATGGCTGTGGGTATTTTCCAAGAGGGTTCACAGCAGATTGAGGAAACAAAGCTGAAAAACTTGAAATAGAAACTTAAGGACAGAGATAGTTTACAGAAAGACTTGGGCAGCCCAGGGCTGTCAGGAGGGCTTTCTCAGTATGGCCAGGGACAGTTTGCCCAATTCTTTACAGTTCAGTGTTTCTTGTGTTACTCTCAGAAACTTTTTATGTTTCAGGTTTTTTTTGTCGTTGCTTTGTTTTTAGTATGTGTTTGCAGTATGTAATGATTACATTCATTGTGGCAGAAGCTAGTTTTACTTCTATTGTGAGATTTCTGATCTGTTTAGAAAATGATTGAGACTAATACAAAAGTAAGATTCTTCATTTACAGAAGATACCCACTAAACACAAATTAATAGGAGACCCACTTTTAGCACACCTTGCATCAGTGGGATACACAGGGATTTGCAATATAAAAAGTAATAAATTAGGGCCAGTAAGAGAGCCCAGTGGGCTAAGTGCCTGCTTAGGCAAGCACAAGTGCAAGTACCAGGATTCTATCCCCAGTACCGAATGCCATGCCAGCCCCACCTCCGGGTGCGCCTGGAATCCCAGCACTGGGGAGGCTGAAAACAGGGGTATCACTATGAATCTCAGCTGCATAGTGAGACCCTGGACAAAATACATAAGTTAAAAATAATAATGCTTAGTCTATGAGGAAAGTCCAGAAGACTTACATAAACATATGCAAGTATGAAATTAATTAAACATATTTTTGAGATCAGTATTTAACCCTTCTACCCTGACTTAAGAGCATGTATCTTATTTCTGTCAGTTTTGAATTTTAAACAGTAACTGGTCAAATAAAACCTTAAGAATTTAATCCTTTTTAAAAGAATATTTTATCCTAATCCTCCTGTTTCCTACTATAACTACATCTGAGTCGATATAAAATTTTTTTATGTAAATACTGAAGAAATTTTAATTTAGTAGCCAGCATGTCTATATATTCTTCTAGGCACCAGGAAGATGGGCAAAGATTAGGACCTGTCATTATGTAAACACAATAATTTCAGATTTTAGTGTTAGGAAGACATACCAGAGTATGTGGATAATGGCTAACTGGCTTAGCTCTGGCAGTCGAGGCCTTTCTGCAGAGACGCCAGTGAGTCGGAATGAGTGTGGAGAAGAGGAAGGTTCAGGCAGAACGAGGAGCAGAAGTTCTCAGGGGTGGGAGCGCGCTGTCATCTGTGTGTAACCAGCAGTACTAGCGAACTTGTGGCACATGTGCTATGCTGCAGCAGGCTGTTTGTGTCACTGAACACTATAAAAGCTGTGCCCTCACTGGTAACCACTGTGTATGACTGTGACACTGATCTCTTAGAAAAGTGGTTTTCAGACTGATACCAGAATCCCTTGATACTCCTAAAGTATTACTGAGATTCTCACAGAGCTTTTGTTCATGTGGACTATGTCTATGGATATTTACTGTAAGAAATTTAAATGGCTGCTTCTTAAAAACATTTACTCAGCCAGGCATGGTGGCCACATCTGTAATCCCAGCACTTTGGAGACTGAGACAGAAAGATTGCTGGGAGTTCAAGGCCAGTCTGGGCTACCCAGTGAGCTCAAGGACAGCCTGAACTGCACAGTGAGACCCTATCTCAAAAAGACAGAATTTACTCATTTTAAAAATAACATACCCATAATATGTCAATATAAAAATACTGATGAAAATAATTATTTTCCAAAAGAAAAAAGCAATTTTGTGGGAACTTGAACTTTTTTTTGTTGTTGTTTTTGTGGAACCGGGGATTGAACTCAGTCCCTTGCACTTGCCAAGCAAGTGCCTAGTCCACTGAACTATCTCCCCAACCCCTAAACATTTTTGCAAAACTTTTGATGGTGGCCACATCTGTAATCCCAGCACTTTAGAGACTGAGACAGAAAGATTGCTGGGAGTTCAAGGCCAGTCTGGGCTACCCAGTGAGCTCAAGGACAGCCTGAACTGCACAATGAAATCTGCATTCAGCAAATCTGTGATGTGTTATTTTGATTAAAGTGTATAAAGAAAATCTAGACGGTCACAAATACATAGTTGGGGGGAGTACAGTATTTTTAAAGGCTTTGTGAATAAATATGTGATTTAATATCTTAGGTTTGGTCTTTTGGGAAATACTGGTTCACTGTGTTAATGCAGGTCTGCCAGATGTTGACTCATTTCACTGTGTCATATCAGAGGCCACACTTACTCTTAGGACCACCAGTTGTATTGGGAAAGGCTTTAATGTATTAAGTTTTCAGGGGCCTTTCGCAAGGCCAGGGATTGAATTTGGGTCCTTGTCCTTGTCAGGTGGGTGCTTATGCGTCTGAGCTATCTACCCAGCCCTAAATTGCAGAATTTTTAATCATCATTTCTTTTTAACAGAGTTGAAATTATCAGTAGCACAGTTCCAGGAGAAACCATGAGACTTTAAAAAAAAAGAAACAACTACTTGCTATAAAATTCAATATAAATGGCATTTGTTGTCAGGAATTCATATACAAGAAGAGATTCTATGATGAAGTGTTGCTGATACTGAGGAGTTATGAGCAAATCAACACATCTGACCACATGTGCAGATGGGCAGCTTAGTGTTTTGTTTGCAGGCTTCAACAGATGTTGGAAAGCAGCAAGTGCTTTTCACTGACTTTGGCCACAGTTGTACAGTCAGGTCCTGAGTCTCCCAGCCAGTGTGTGCTACTGCAGCCGGTGAACCAGCATGCCTTATCCTTTGTCATTTCTACTTTGAAAAGCAATAATCAGTAATTTTTATTCCAAAGTGCACATCACAGCAAGGTTGCCAGTTCAAGGCCAGCTTGAAACTCTGCAGGATCTTTCCTCAACATAAAAAATAAAAATGGAGGGCTGGTGAGATGACTCAGTGGTCTAAAGCACCTACTTAGAACAAGCTTAGCAAAGCACAGGGACCGCAGTTCAATCCCCCGGCACCACATGCCAGCCAGCCCCGCCCCCTGCTGGGCTGAGGTGGCCACACACACACACACAAATAAATAAAATTTTAAAAATAAATAAATAAAATAAATAAAAATGGAGCTAGGGGAGTAACTTACTGGTAGTACTCTTGGGTTCAGTTCCTAGTACCACCAAAGAAAAAGCACATTGCAGTCATAGTTAAAATGCTTAGCCCTTTTGGTAATTCCAAGTTAAGTCTTAAGATGAAGCCAGACCTTAACTGGAACCATACTATGTTTGAAAATATTTAGTTGTATAAAGCACAATAGGTTAGATTATGAATATCTGTAAAGTAAAGGAATAGCTTTATTTTTTAAATATTTTTTACAATGTTCACTTATATACTAAAATATATATTTTAGCACATATACTAAAATTGGAACGATACAGAGAAGATTATCATGGCCCCTGCGCAAGGATGACACACAAATTTGTGAAGTGTTCCATATTTTTAAATATTGTATCGTTTCCCTAGTATAAGAACTCAAAAGAAGAAATACAAATAGAAAGGTATAATACAACTAAAAGGAAAGCAAGATCTTGAGGACTAGACAATGAAAAGAGAGGAAGGAGAAGAGCTAGGAAACATGACAGGGGCAAGCCATACTGTTAAATGTAGAAGATGGGTAAGGCAATGGTCCTGAGAACCTCCAGAAGATTTTTGAATCTTGCAGTTAATTGGAAAGATTCTCACCCTGACTAACTGTATGTACAGACATCTGTGAAGTAAGCAACTGCACTGAAGATGGCAATTTGTAATAGTAGGTTCATGCTTGGAGTGCCTGTCATTCTAGTCTTCTGAATACGGGCTGCTTGTCATGACATGCCAGTTGCTGCCATGCTGTCTCTCAGGTAGATGATTGTTCAAAAAGAAGTGGGTGGTGAATGAGGGCAGGAGACAGGAAAAGGAATGTTGACGGACTGTCCTGCTACACGGTTGTATGTGGTTAGATTTCTGGACTTATGTGTAAACATAAGAATTATGTAATTCTTTATGCCTATTTTAAAAATATATTTTAATTTTTTAAATGTTTTTTCATCATATTCTGTAGGGACTTAAAATTCAACATATCAATCTTGATGAAAAGTACCTGTTCCATGTTATGCCTGAGATGTTTGATATTCAGACAGATAGTGAAGTTATGCTTAACAGCCCAGGTTGTATGATAATAACAATAAGCGTCTCTTCTGGAGGGTTAACAACCTAAGTTTGCAGACCAAAATTAGAGAAAAAGGAGGG